AATTAAATAAAAAAAAATAACTATCACTTTCATCGAATCATCGTATCGACCCGAAAACTTGACCTGTAGACAGTGACACAGTGGTCCGGATTCCACATCTTCGCGTGACCACCGCAACAACGTATTGTACACGTTAGGAAGTTTACTTTTACTGTTGCTTAGGAACGCGAATGCACACGCAATCACTTTCGACTTTCAGTTAGGTTGACGTTAAGGTTGGTACAGCCAAATTTTTATTTTTAAAAAAAGAACCAGGCTATCAAAGATAGTTCTGTTTGACTTTATGAAATACAGAGTATGGTATATTTTCAGAGTTCTCAAATGAAATGATAATATAAATATTATTAGTTTTCTTTAATGTAACAGCGCAGAATTAAAAAAAAAACATAATTAGTAGCCTCTGTGTTCTTCCAGACTATGTTCAACATGTCAGATTACATCGAGATCCGTTAAGCTGTTCTGAAGATACCTTCTTATAACATCCGTAAATATTATATAAACATTCGCACTTATAATATTAGTAAGGATCGGCTTGTGGCAGCCCTAGAAGCGACAGTGCGCTGCGATGCGTTCGCTCGGAAAGCTATTTTTTACATCCGATCTTACAAACGCATCCATCACACATAGGCAATCTACTGGACTTAAAATTAACAAAGAAATTTCATCTATAGAAATATTAAAGCAATAATTTGTTTGTTTATTTGAATATGCTTCGTAACTGCTAAACTGATTTGAAAAACTCTTTCACTATATACCTGGCTGAATAAGCAATAAAATAAGCAGTGGTAGAGACCGCTTTAACATCTTCGCACGAATTGGCCCGGCTCGCCCGGTGAAATACCACGACCACACAGAAGACAGGCGTCAAGTGGAAGCAATTCCGCGTTTCATTGAGTGTGCGTCCCGAAGGGCTGATTTAGTCGCTCTTTCCCTTCTTATATAGAAATATTTCTTTCTGTGCATCCTCTCCTCCGTCGATTAAAGGTAGGCAACGCATATGCAATTGCGTATGTCTATGGGCAACGGTCACTTCGCTATTCGCGCGATCGCGATTTCAGGTGGCCGCTCGCTCGTTTGCCACCATAAGATATAAAAAAAAGCAAAAAAAATTAAAAACTAAAAATCAAAAATTTTCATTGTGTTTTCTGCTTGCTAGTATTAGGAATTAGTCCATAAAAGTTCCTTTTTATATAAAAGAAAAAAAAAACTAAATAACACTTACTGACACAATGTGCGTCTTATACGCGTAAATAATTATTATTTCTCGTAGTTCAGAATACACGAGAATGAGTGAACACAATGTAGATGCTTTTGTAAAAGCATTTAAATAAAACATAGTATATTTAAGACTACAAAATTGTATTGCAATTAATTTAGATTCAACAAAAACATAATGTAAACTTTAACACAATTGTATAAGGTATATTTTTGTATTCCAATTTAACACGGCGACTGTATTCGGTGACCGTAATAAATCTGCAGCGAATGTATAGGTCCTCTGGAGCGGATTGAGTCGAGCGACATCGTTAACTTAGTTGATTTTGTTATGCCTCGTCCACTCTTATCTTTACAAGTTAAGAATAAACTTAAAAACTACAAGCTGCTGCAGACTCCGTCCGCACAGATTAAAAAAAAAAACACTTAACAATAAAATAAAAAATTATGCAAAATATAATAAAAGTAAAGCACCACCGGTTGCGAAATCCCATGACGCCAGCAACCAGTGGTCAGGGCTACAGAGACAGGAACCTTCTCACGATGGGCCCTTAATCCACCTGTTTAGAGAGAGCTTCTTAAGATGTTGGTCGAAGGTCTTCGCTATCAGACCATTCATACGATGTTTACAGTAGGATTTTCTTTGTTACAATATTTCAAAGTAGTAGTGTTAACATATGGCCAGCGTGGTTGATAGCCTAACCCGATGGGGACGTATAGTGAGCTGATGATGAATGTTACCTCATATCTGATTTGTGTCAAAGAAAGAATACAGATAAAGTGCGTAATTCTTTGAACTGTCAACCGGGCCTATAAGTCATGGCTTCTCAGACCACTGTATTTAAGATCCTGGTCCCTAAACACCGTAAGACCTATTTTCAACTATATGTTACTCACACGTGTATAGTTATGCACAAAATGCAAAAGATCTTAATTTTAATTCCTTTAAGTGAGAGTTGAATGTTAATTTGCAAGCCTTTTCTACGCGATTGTACTACTTTTGTTGAACTCGACGTTCATTGTGGCAGTGTAATGAACGTGGGAACTGGGTTGTATTGAACTGATGCTTTTCAAATAAGATCCAATTTATCTTTGTTCTAATATTCGCTAATATTAAAGGTATTACTAATATTTATGTTGATCAATTATTACTTTATTAATAATCAAACATTACAAATATGATATGTACAGTCGCAGACATATATTTCGTTACCATTTTGACAAAATTTTTGACGACTAATTTTTTCATAACAATTACTTCGAAAGCTTGTCACAACATAAATGCAAAATTATAACTGTACATGATTACAAATTGCTGTATTCAGTGGGAAGCAAATTTAATTCTTTAAATATATGTGTAATACAGTCGAACTTGGATAAACAAGAAATAGATAAGAGAGAAACCTCAATAAGCGAGAAAAATATTTTGGCACCTTGAACTCTACCTTATACGCTAGACAAAGTACATTCACTCCAAAGCGATTCCATAACGAACTTCAAAAAGGTATAGAATTGTCAATAACTTTCGGTAAGTCACGTGATTGTCGCGCATCAGTTCTGTAAATTTTTGAAGTTCGTTATGGAATCGCTTTGTAGCGAATGCCCTTTGTCTAGGTCCGCTTGTTTTTACAAAAATATTAATATTAGTAAGTAATATGCTTATATTTATTACATAATCCCAATATTACCACATCTAAGGAAATAAGGAATGATATACCAATAAAAGCTCGATACAGACTCAATAAAGGATTTTATCTGAATATTTATTGTTACTCAGCTATATCGTGGGCCTCGCTTAGAAACATGTTGTTATTTTCATTCTTCGATTAAGAATTCTTTTGTAATAATAGTCAAGAATACTTACGAACTATAAATATACTAATATATGATGCTGTGACATATTTTCAAACTAATTGCATTGTAAATGTCAACATATTTCGTCGAAATGGGTACGAAATTAATGTCCTCGACTGTAAAAGTTATGTTACTTTCCATACTAAGCTGGGATGCGTCCCTAGTTTATAATTACATCATGACGTAAAGAGACGATGAGACATAAGAATAATGTATTATTTAAAGCCAGCTACACACAACCGCGTTTCAACTGATGAGTTGGTATTCCCAAGGCCGATTTATGACTGTAAAATTTTTAAGTGGATTTACTGACGGAAGGTACTTATCAGAAAGGGGAATATTTCTGTGTGTCTTCTCCGTCGATTAAAGGTAGGGTCTGGAATTGCGGATATCTATGGGTAACGGTCGCTTTATAATTTCAGAAAATCCAGATGGCCGCTTGCTCATTTACTACCTTATTATAGAAAAAAACAGTGTGTTTGTTTAGAAGTGTTCAGTTGAAACCAAAAGTGTGTCGCTGGCTTAAGTTTTGCCCGGTCTATCGTTAGCGCAATACATTCGCTAATGCATGTTTGATTTCTCTTTTACTTGATGATACTAAGAACGTAATTTTGTATACTTCCTTGTAAATAGAGCTTTGAAAAAGCACATTATGTACCATTTTATACCTAGATATATTACATAAGGAAATTATTTGAAACATATTATGAAAATCTTGTTTTGAAAATAATACTATCAAAAATCGCTTATACTTTAAGGCCGTCGTTGCTATGTAAATTAGTTTTTATTCATGTATTTATATATTGTAATAGCATTAGGAGTTAATAAATAAATACATAAAAACTTCAGGTAATCTGATGAATATGTTTTTGTACAATTTTTGCGACAGTGGAATCCGACTTTAAATCTAATCGTTCGATATTGACTAATACTAGACGTAACATAACCTAAGTTGGTTTGGTTAATACCTCAAAAGACAGGTTATTCCATAAAACAAATTATTTTAACAAAATTCATTCATCATCAGCTCACTATACGTCCCCACCGAGGGGCTCGGAGCCTACCCTAAGTTAAGGATGATTAGGCCATAGTCAACCACGCTGGCCTAGTGCGGGTTGGTTGACTTCATACATATCTTTGAATTTCTTCTCAGATATGTGCAGCATCACGAGGTTTTTCCTTCACCGTAAGAACTTCGGATAAATGTACATATGTAAATCGGAAATCGAAATACACATTAGTATATGTCGGGATTCGAACCCAAGACCTGCAGATTGTAAGTCAAGTGCTTAGCCCCTGAGCCACCGACGCTCTTTAACAAAATTATGCACGCTTTAATTTGCAGTTCCGCTATGGGAAGCCATTTTTTACTCGTATCTCGAAATCTAATTAGTCTGCGCAGCGCTGTACAGCTTTAATATAATCTAGGTTTAAATGCATATTGTTTACGTGGCTTTGTAAAGCGCTGCAGCGCTGTATGAGTCAGGATATGTCACGAGCAAACATTTCGCTTTCGTCCTCATTATGCGTAAAAGCACTCGTGCGTTAGATTTTAATAAAGCTGTTATCGTAAATTTATGAAGCTTTTCTTCAGCGAAAAAATATTTAATTCATTTTATTATTTACGTAGTTATAATTAAATTTAATTGTGGCCTGATGTCTTTAGATTTTCTGCAAAGGGATACTTTCTTATTACTGACCTCAGTGGTGAAAAGTCTAAATTTCTTTCCAATGATAAAAAAGAGAGATATAGAGTTAGAGGGAGAGCGTGTTGAGAGAGAAAAAGTTATGTTTTTTTTAGTAACATTTCTCAATTGGGGATCAAAATAATTTTAAAAATAATGTACAGAATTTCCTTTTATTTATTACAATGTTACTGTATTCAAGGAAATGCTTATTGAAAATTTTAATATCGTTTTATCTTGTTACAGCTGTAATTCTGTGCGCGTACGCAGCCGAGGAGGTTGAGAAGAAGAATGAAATGACTGACTTGGAGCAGATGGAGTCACAAGACAAGAGACAAACGCAAGAGGGCAGTCAGGACCAATACAGATCGGGAAGAAAACAGGTATAATATTAGGGTTGTAACCATAGTTATTGACCCCTACCTTTCTAAGTGCGAAGTCACGCAAAATTATATACCGGTTAAATACAGGTTTTTGTTAATAATTAATGACATGTAATAATAATAGTTTAATAGTGTAATAACTCCATACATCAGTAAAGGACGACTTTATGCTTTTTTATCACGAGGGAATGACATAGAGTAATAAAGAAAGCAGTATAACAATGAACACGAGTAAATAAATCTGTTTTCACAGTAAATATGTGTTCTATTTGGCTTTTGTGTGTAACGAAATAAGTTATGAATTAAAATCTTATATATAAAATTCTCGTGTCACAATTTTCGTTCCTATACTCCTCCGAAACGGCTTGACCGATTCTTATGAAATTTAGTGAGCATATTGAGTAGGTCTGAGAATCGGCTACTATCTATTTTATAATCTCACGCGGACGAAGTCGCGGGCGACAGCTAGTATTCAATAAAATCTGCGTCTATTAAATGTTATTCTTTGTGTAAATCAAAGTTATTCATCGTTATATATAAACAGAATTCATGTTACGTCAAATAGCTGTCCAGAGTAAAGACGGTCCCGTTGTAGTACTTTAAATTTCAAATACACGTCTTTCGTTCTTCAATGTCACTTACAGTTGTCCCAACTACACGATAACAAGTGACTTCAGTTCCCGTCTCTTTGAATTCAAATGTTCCGACATCTAACAGGATTTTATGGCTTCCTGGTACATGTACTGTTAGACGTCGACTTTTGTTAATTATAAATAACGAGCTGGTCACGTTATTTAAATATTACCAATAAATATTAAGACAGACTAAGACAATTAAGGGCCATAAAGCAATGGGTTAAGAGGCAAAAATGTAATATTTAACTAGCTGTTTTCTTTCAAAGAGCTTTTGTTTAATATATCGTTAATGGAAATTGAAATTAGGTTAACTGTGATTTAAGAAAGCTTACATTTGAATTTGGCCATACATAGAAAACCTTAAAAGAATTTCATAATTTTTTGATTCCTACACAGTCTTTGTTCAACTGGCCATATCTATCTGACCCCCCCTATTGTGATGTGTCATATTTTAAAAACTTGTGACATTTATCAAAGTCAGTCAGCTCGTGATAATAGTACAGCGAATGCTGATCATCCATCTCATTATATTTGAAAAAAAAACTTTTTTTTTTATATTATAAGGTGGCAAACGAGCGAAGAGCCACTTGAAGTCGCTGAACCAGCGAAGCGACCGCTGTCCATAAACATACGCAATTGCAGATGTATTGACTACCTATAATCGACAGAGGACATGCACAGAAAGAGACTATTTTCCCTTCTCATGCATCCCCTCATCCGGAAAATCCACTTCTAATTTCCTTATAAGAAAAAGAGTGGGAAGCTAAAGAGGATTAAAATAAGGATTAATTACACATGGATTTTGGTCTCAGAAAGCAACTAGTAGTCTATAAAACGTTATAATAAATAAAAAAATTGCCTTCAGAATTGCGAAGCTAAAGCGCTAGTGAAATAATAAATATTAAAAGTAAAAAACACATACGATTCTAACCGTAATAATGATTTAGTTAACGATAATGATGATTACTCTATAATATCTTAACGTTTTATAAGTATATATACAAAGATATTAATCTTTCTCGTTCATGACCACAGTGTGGTGAATGTCGTCGAATTAAAATATGACAAGTGACATTTTATAAACGACGTGTTAGAAATTGATTCATTTTTAATATTAGAGATGTCTTAAATATTATTCTAATAAATTCTTAAATATTTTAATAATTTTACGTGGAATTATTAAGAATTAAATTATCGATAATAATTTAAATTCCATACCGTGGGTCTCCACTGCCGTATAAAAAATATTACGTATGTCCGTCACTTTGAATCGTTTTGAACATGTGTTTCAGCAGTGTAAACTCACGGTTATATCAAGAAAATAATAAATATATAATATATTATTAATGTTATAGGAAAAACATCATTATTGAGTATAGTTCAAGCGTCAATAATTCCTTTTTACAGTCGGGGACATTTATTACCTACCCATCGGTAAAATGTCATAGCGCTCACATAGCAATTAGGTCAAAAACTTGTCACAGCAACAAACATGAATGCCAAATTATATCTCCTATCGACTGTTATACAAGGTACGATATTAAGTGGGAAGCAAATTAAATTCTTTGACTATATTTTGCCCTTTCACTTCTGTGTCCTAGATTCAACATCACGATCGGCCCTTTGGCTTGTTGTTGTATATTCTAAGTCCACGTTGTGTAATATTAACAAGATTTTCTTCCCTAGATAACAATAACTTAATTGCCTAATGCGTTACAAAATGGGCAATAACTATCTCGTTTACCTTTAATTTATTTATTTATTCAATTTACATCACAACAAACTGAACGGTGATAAAGATAGTATGAGTCAACTTGTGTCGTTAGGAAAAGCAGTCGTAACATAACATTCCAGTTTGCATCAATCCAGTCCGGTTAACGAATCCAGCGAAGACTTATATAATTTCATTATTAATCATCAGCATCGTTAATCATCAGCACACTTTTAGTCCCAAATGAGGGGCTTGGATCCTAGTCAACAGCTCAACGGTGACTAGGTCAACCACGATGGCCCATTCCGTGCGGTCTTAACAAATAATTTAATTATTAGCTTATGTCTTCTTCAGACTATGTTCGACATCTATGCCAAATTGCAGCGAGATCCGTGCAGCTGTTCTGGTGATACCATCTAACAATCATCTATCCATCTATCCAAACCTTCGCATTTATAATTAGTACTAGCAGACCCGACAGACGTTGTCCTGTCTACCCGTCTTTAATTTTAATAAATTAATATGAAGTTAATATTTGATGAAAATTGTGAATCTAAACCATTCCCAGATCCCCTTGAACACACACAAAAAATTTCATCAAAATCTGTCCAGTCGTTTGAGAGAAGTTCAGTGACATACACACTCACAGAAGAATTATATATATAAAGATAAGACAGTAAGATTGGATGTACGTCTGTTTACTTAATTTAGGCGTTAGTTGGGAACGTGGTATAATTATTGCGAAGACAGCAATTTAGGATTCGACGGGTTGCTGAATAGTACAGTGTTTTATTATTTAGAAAATTGTAGCCTCTCACTGTAATTACTTGTAGAGGTCAACTGCGGCGTTTGTTACAACTATTATAGCTCGTACTTTCTCCTTAAACTGTCGTATGATTTGCAACATCTGAATAAATGATGATGTGAAAAATTTTGATTGAAAAACACAATAAATATCCTTAGTGTAGGTCAAAAAGTTTTATTATAAGATAATTCAATACCACTGCAATATTAAATCACAGATAAAATAAATTAAAGTCGTCCTTTTCACACGATTAGTTCAGAAGAAGTGAGACAACTAATGCTTTTCATTTAGAGATAATTCATATGAACCGTCTCGACGAAAGACCTCCATAAGCGAGAAATTCTGGTTAGAGAGAAACCTACACAAGAGAGAAAAATATCACGGTCTTTGGATTCTCGCTTAACCTTGGACTTCATAGTACTATAGCTCAGTGATATACACCAAATTAAGCAAATAAATATCACCTATGAGAACATGAGAATGATGAGAAATTTATGTCACTGTCGAAATTATAAATAAAATGTCACATGTCGTAAGAATTTCATCGCATCTGAGCCCGCGTTATTCACAAATTGAGTAATTTCATTTGTCGACTTTTGCGCTCTTAATACCGTTTTAATAACGTCTCCTAACATTTCACAATCTGACGTTGTTAGTCGTAAAATAACTGAATGTTACGCGAGGAGTTAGCAATAGATAATAATACGTTGTCGCATATGAATAGCAGAGGACTGTTATTTTATAATTATAACAGTTGTGGAAATAGCTATTTTTATCATAGTTGCAAATGCGACGTTCTTTAACAAATATTTTGTAACATAATTGTATCTTCTAAAAATATATCTCATGATTGGTGTAGATTATTTTACCGAGCATCTAGAAAAGAACTATTCATATAAGATCTTCAGCTCAGCTTGTTCTCATTGATCCTACCCTAAGATAGGTGACTAGCCCATAGTCAACCACGCTGGCCCAGTACGGGTTGGATAACTTCAGAGATATCTTTGAATCCTTTTTCAGATATGTGCATTATGTAAATATTATTATACGATAATTAAATTACATCTTACTAATATTATAAATGCGTATGTTTTGATAGATGTGTGGATGCTTGAAGGTATCTCGGGAACGACTGAACGGATCTCACTGAAATTTGGTATACATATAGAACACAGTCTGAAGGAACACATGCACTACTTATGAACTTTTTTAAATTCAAGCAGACGGAGTCACGGGCGGCTGCTAGTAAAATCTTAAAATATTTCATCACAGCGATTGGAAACCTTTAATTATTCAATAGTAAACTAATCCCAAGTTAGACATATACTTGACTAAATTCATGTTGTAGTTTTGATTGCATGCTTTGCCGTATGATTTCCGAGGGTCCACTTGTATTGCATAAATTTGTCGGTTGGTTGAACTCTTGGTATTGTCAGTTGATTTGAACGTGGACGAACAATGTTCCGATCTATCACCGCTTTCACCGAGCGAATAACGCGACATCTGCTGGTAATTACTGTAAAACTGTTATGACATGCTACAGATTGATGTAAACTACTTTTAAATTACTATTTATCGTATCATTTTTTTATAATATGTAACAATAATTGGTTTGTTACAGGAACAAGTTGCACCAGTACAAGAAAATCCTGAGGAAGATAAATCCAGTGGGTAAGTAGTAAAAATTCCAAATAAATCTACTAAAAATCTTGATAAAAGTATACTAAATGAAGACCGCGAATATTGATCAAGCAAACTAATCAAACGAAACTAAGACATATCACCAGAAAGTTTACAAACTTGCTTATAATCCTAAATTTCTAGAATGGGGGTAGAAATTTAGAAAAATTATTTGTCGCTTTCTCGCTCTATTTTAACCAAAAAATCTTGTATATTTAAAACATTACGTTCCACCTTCCAGAAGTGGCCAAACCGAAGAATACCGTCCTGGGCAAGTGTTCTCACTGAACGCGCAAGAACTGCTGGAACTGCAGCCGGAGAGAAAAGCACCGCTAGCCAACAATCAGCAGCTGCAGCAACTGCAACAGCTTTACAACCCACAGCAGGAACACCAACAGAATTTACAGCAAAGTTTACAGCAAAGTTTGCAGCAGAACTTACAGCAAGGCTTACAACAGAACATACAGCCTTTCTACTACTTGGACCCCCAACTGGCTGGGCAGGTAAAAACTTCAGTTTTATTTAAAATTAGGATTATTAGTTTTGACACTAAGAAACATATAATCCACTAAGACGTAAAGACAGTTACGAATGAATTTCTAGGACTTGAAAATAAGAGGACAGAAAAGGATTACTAATACTAATAGATATTTGGATTTCCAGGTGTCTCTTCAACCATCTCATACCGTCATCGCTCGTCCACACTACACATCCAATGGAGGTGAAGCCTCAGTAGGCGCCGCGCTATCAGTGAGCGACAGCGGCAGCGCTACCGCCCATCCCTTCGACCAAGAACTCCTGGCGCTGTTCAGCCAGGCACGGCAAGAAGACGACAGACAGCAAATATATACACAGCAAATCCTGCCTCAAGCACTCGGTCAACAGTACCAACAAGTAAGAAAACTTTTTTCGTATCTTTTGGTTCTAACTGTTAGTCATATAATCCAACCATATTTTTTTTAATTTCAGGTGGAAAGGTACGTAACAAAGCCAAGTAAGAAACCGACTAAACTGCGCCCGAAGATCCAAGTGGTACCAACGCAAGCGTCGACAGCCCCTCAGCAATATCTTATTGAAACAACCAATGTACAATCTCAAGCGCCTGCGCTTCAATATCGCCCCATACAGTCACAGCGTACTGGGCAAACCCTTCGCTACATTCCCTTGCAAGTCGCCCAGCAAGCCATATCTCAACCTTTGTATGAACGTCCCGAATCTCAAGGTTTGAAAATCGTCCCAGCTCCAAATCTACAAAACCTACAGCCACAAACTCAAGGTAACTACGTCTTCGTACCTCAGTACCAACAACCAGAACCAGCTCAACAAAAGCAATACAAATTCGTCGACACACAGAGACAGACAATTCAAAATGTTAGACAAGAACAACCGAGAATCGCAGTCGAAAGGCCATTGGCGTACTTAAAGCGATTCCCTGAACCCGAAAAGACACGAACAGTTAAAATTTATAACCAATCCGGTCTTGAAGGTCTATCAGCCGTTCCTCAAGCTGGTCAAAATGAACAATACTATATCAGACCTTTATACAGACAAAACGAGCAAAGACCTAGATACGATTTATCAGCACTGGCTTTAAGATCATTTGAACAAGCACGAGCTGCTGAATCTACTAAATCTCCTTTATCAACAATTTACGTTCACAAGAACACAGCTCCTAAGAAAGTGTCGAGACCTTCAGTAAGAATAGAATCTCAAAGAGAACAATCAGCTAGCTCTGAATATCCTATCGAGCAAGGAAGAGCTTTAGAATACCAACGTCCTCAGTTGCCACCACCTAAGAATAACAAGGCTTATACTCCTGAAGAGTTCCAGGCTTTGGTAGCTGCAGGTTACTCTGTGACTCCTATACCAGTTGGGACGGTTGGTGAACAACCAGCGCAGTCCCGGTCTTCAGTAGAAGCGATACAGATTCCCCAACGACGTGTTTACACTAAACGTAATCAATACTTGCCTTTAAGATCTGATGAAGCGCCTTAAATTTTATAACGACTATGTACAGAATTTTAGAATTAACTCTAGATAATAAAATATTTTGTAATTTATTGGTCTTTGATTTACAACAGTGTTGCAGTTTGTCGCTTTTACTATAAGAGCCTAAACATTTGTTTTAACATATTTTGTCTCTGTTTTCTTCAATCAGAATAAAAGAGATGAGAAAATATTTTTCGTAATCAAACAAATCTATTTAAAACTATGAATTAGCACAATTAGCCCACGACTTCGTTCTCACGGAATTAAAAATAAAATATAGTATACTAGCTCCGTCCGCGCGAAATTAAATAAAAAAACTTAATTAGTAGCCTTTGTGTTCTTTCAGACTATGTACTCTACATAAATGTAAAATTTCAGTGACATCTATGTAGCCGTCCCGGAGATACCTTCAAACAAACATCCATCCATCCAAACATTCGCATTTACAATATTAGTAAGATACCCAGGGATAATGATGGAATAATTATTCAAATCAGTTCAGTAGTGTTGGAGCTTATTCAATTCAAACAATCAAATCTTTCCTCTTTTCAATTGACGGACAACAGTAAACTCGACAGTCAGTTATAAGCCCTCGAGGAAATTAATAGCAAAAGCCTTGTCAAAAACTTTGAGCATAGTTTGTTTCAAGGCTTTTCATTTTGCCATCACAATCTTGATAATTACGTATAACTGATTTAATTAATCTATTAAAAATGTCTTACTGGAATCAAATTAATCAACATTTTAAAAGTATTTCCTTTGGAACGAAATGGAATCCACTGAATCAAAAGAAAGGGTTTTAAATTTCTTTACGATAAATTTAATGCCTATCAAATTAAACACATTTTTCTATATGTGTGTATTTATTTAATTAAAACGAAAATGTATTAATCATTTTTAGTTTTTTGTTTTTTTTTTTTATTAAAAATATGGGCAGATTTTTTTGTAAATTCACTAGTATTTCTTTTACCATTCCAACTAAACTCTAGGCTTGTGCTAGGATATGGTTCACGACAATAGTCGAATAGCGGATTCGAACCCCGACCTCGTGATCGGAAATCCGTACCCTTAACCATTAGGCTATTGACGCTTATTTTTAGTTATTCAAAAGCAATTTTTGGCAAAAATTAATATTGTACTAATAAATTTTGTAATTTTTACCTCACTGATGTAAGAGAATCGGCTGTTGCGTCCCTGGCAAGCAAACCAGAAAATTAGACCGAAATTGAATTTGACTCAGGAAAGAAATTTCATTATAAGGGTAATGTTCTTGGGAAATGTATTTTTATTATCTTGTTCCCGGCAAATGCTATATTCATATTATTATTGTAACCTTTGATGCAGTAAAATACTTGTTTAGACTTAACGCCTGCGCAAATGTTGCGGCAAAACGCCATCGCGGGAACGTTGCCGATGCCCGCATCAGGCGCTTGGGCCATATATATACGTCTCTGTCTATTCGTATCACTTACCTTCAAATTATTGTGCAATTCGCATCTTTTTTAAATTATATTATTATAATTTTATTAAATATCTGGGCTTTTAATTTGCACCATCTATCCGCAAAAGTTAGAACAATACTGAACTGAAAACTCTCAGAAAAATGGTTTAAAACAGAACGATTTCGTTAACAGTATTTTTAAAGTATTACGTAACGATGTCAGTATAGAGATGACGTCATCAATTCCGTGGCCTTTGGACGCATACGTTTTTTTTCTAAATCTTTAATGTTCTGGCTTCATTTACGGCCAGCCTACTTAGACTAAGAAGGAATAAATTAAAATGAAATATTTAACTATAAACTACATAATCTAACCAAATGTAATAGAGATAATCTAACGAATATATCAAATGCGAATGTAAGGATGAATGGATGGATGTTTTTAGTAGATATCTACGGAACGGCTGAACAGATATCGCTGAAATTTGGCACAGATGTAGAACAAAATCTGAAAGAACACATAACCTATTTATGAAGTTTTTCTTTAATTCCGTGCGTGTGGAGTCACGGGCGAGAGCTAGTCATATTACATTATGTTAACCGCATCATTCCACTGACGAAACACGTGTACAAAAGCATCGTAATTTTGTACTAATGTTTAGGTAATGTACTTATACGTTTATCAGAAAAGAAATGAAAAAAAAAGGATTTCATCATAAAAATGTAAAGCACACTAAAGTCACAAAGCTGACAAGTAACCCGGCATTACGCGTAATATATAGCGACCCGCCGACACTGGTGAGAATAATACCAAAAATCTTATACATTTACACTTCCGTGTCTACAATATCATTAGTCACGCCACTTTCGTCCTCCTCAACGCGCTTTTGCTTTTCTTTTGGTTATTTACTCTCACAAATTACATATACGACAAACATATCTCTATTTAGTAAAAGGGTTACGTTACGACGGATATAGTAAGCTACAGTTAATTAAAATATCATTAAACCTCACGATTTAATTTGGCTTAAAATTAAAAGCCAGTGCTTCCAAAATGACCAAAGTTGGCCTTTGTCAAATTTTCAAGTCTTAACAACCATTCACGGAGTGTTTCAAATAGTCGGTTTTCAAGATCAAAATCTTCTTTTAAAACATATTATTATCTCTGTTTTGTTAAAGATAATGACAGGGATGACGATATGTTTTATACAGGGATTTTGGTTTCAAAAACCTACGGTAAGTCGATCAGCTTTTGTTAGTACTGACTGCTAAAAACTTTCTATGTACAAGTCCAGTCTTTACAGTTAGTAGACCGGTTAAAATAACATTCCATCAAGTTCCTCTGAAGTAAAAGATAATATGATATAATAGCCATGATCTTTGGTGTCTCAGAAAAGTTTTATTTAAGTTAATTACAGTGATTTTAAATTCCCACTTAAATTAGTTCTCCAGATTGACCTAGATTCCGCTAGAGAGCTATCAATTTCCGAGACAGTGAATCTATTCGCGACGGCAAACATAACCTCAATTTTACAAAATCTATTACATTTAAGAATTACTAATTGCAGTTTAAAAACAAATATTTATATATAAACTGACTGTTGCTTGCGACCGTCGGCACAGAATTTATAAAAAACTTAATAAGTTACCTATGACTTCCAGGCTATGTTCTACATCTTTGCCAGATTTCATCAAGATCTGTTCAGCGGTTGCCAAGATACCTTCTAACAAATATCCATCCACCAAACATTCGCATTTATAATTATAAAATATAATAATATTATAATATAAAAGATTTATTTACGAAAATGTTATCTTAATCAATAAACAATAACCTCAAAATGTCATAAGTATTGTACTCACGTATGGTAAAAAACAATGTTATAATTATATCACTTCATTTTTACAAAACAATTGTAACAATTCACTATTATTTATAACATTAGTCACACTTTGAAATTAAATTATTAACACTTTTTATAACCTGATAATCGAATATTTTATTTCCACTTTTGACAGTCCGAGCACTGACAAGCGCTCAGGGGTACCAACTGAAGTATTTGGCGTTTGACGTTTCGATAACAGTTGTTCTTAAAATACCCACACTTTTGTTAATTAAAGTTTCTATTTGTTATGTAAATCACACCTTATAGTTTTAATTTAGTGATTTGCGAGTAAGAATTTGAAAATTAAAAAAAAACACGTCAAATTAGTTTAAATGTAACTCATAATCTCTATCATCATCAACCTGCCCTTATCCCTATCGAGGGTCGGCACAGCATGTACTACTCCTCCATACATCTCTATCAGCCGTCATATCCGAGTCTACCCCCTTCTTACGCATATCCTCTTTCACACAGTCATTCCATACTTTTTTGGTCTTCCTCTACCCTTGTAGCCATCCACTTTCAATCTCATTACTTTTTTGCTTATATCATCATCATCCCTCCTCATAACATGTCCAAACCACGCTAATCTTTTACTCCTCAATTTCTCGATCACTACTACGCAACTTTTAAACTTCCTCTAATATACACATTTTTTAACTTATAACCTCTATCGATAATACTAAAAGAATAAGGAGAACACTAAGGACAATTTCACTTTTCAATTAATTGTCAGCAAACAAAAATAACAAGAGAGCAAAAAGATATCACTACCTCTAGATTCTTAATAGCTTTTTACTCTATACTAAATCCTTAATCTTTCCTTTCAAACAACAATCATCTCAAGTAATGTCCGTAGCCATAAAAAAACTATAAAGATTTCGTTCACTCTATACGAAGTCTATTTGCAATAAAAACCGCTCTGTATTAAGAAATTTAAGAGTTATTCTGTAAGCAGCAGTTAAATAAAAAGAAATGATTGAAGTATTTACTCGTTTTATTATCTAAATAAGAAACTGACATGACACATTCGAATACAGAATAAAGTTCTACGCATACAACGTGTTAAATTACATTATATAGCAAAACTAATATTATTAGTGGTGTTTACAAACATAGGATTGTTTGCTTTAATTTTAAAAATGTTTTTATTTAACGACAGAATTATACAGATGTAATATAATATTGATTATTCGTTTTAGTGGCATTGCTATTCATAAATGTCAGGCGATAATGGTTTCCGATACTTAGTCTTAATATCTTACGAACCTTACTATGTTACTAATATTATAAATGCGATTGAGTAGATGGATGTATGGATTGATGTTTGTTTGAAAGTATCCCGGGAACGGCTATATGGATCTCGCTAGTATTTGGCATAGATGTAGAACATAGTCTGGAAGAACACATAGGCTACTAATTAAGTTTTACCACACGAACGAAGTCGCGGGCGACAGCTAGTATCGCATAATTCTACGTATAACTTCCTATAAAATAAAAGTATTAAATAAGTAACAAATAAAAGTATAAAATATATTTAGGTTTTATAGAAAAATGGTTGTTTGTTTTATGAATGCATTTTGAATTCTTTATTTCTTTAAATGTCGTCTTTTTCGTTTTCATTTTGTTGGCTCACAAACAAACAAGTGAAGAGGAATGGTACACATACACGTATGAGGATACTTTAAATCTTACTTTAGAAAGCAGACATTTCTTTTATTTTCTTATGGTTTTTAACATACTG